TTACAAGCAAAAATATTCTATTTTACACAAACACTTTACAATAATATTTATTACAGGTCACTGGCTTCTTCCGTGTTCTCGCTGCGATATACGTGGATCTTGCTACTGGAAACATGCTGAATGGCACCCATATCAATGTCAACATTATAAAATGCCAAGAGATAGATTAAAACAATGTCTGGCTGGTAAAAAGGTATGTAAACATTAGATTTATTTCGATAGCCCAACTCTATGTGACAGACTAGTGCCCTAATCATCTGATTCTACATGCACTGTGTTTTATTTGGCAAAAATTATACCAATATTTAAAAATTATTAAATTTGACAGTAATACAGTGTGCGACTAAGCATGTATGTAATAAATGTTTTGTAATAGAAACTTTTATAAATTCATGACTGTCATTGAATTTCCAATTATTAGTGTGAAATTATACCAATTATAAATTAAAGTGTAACTGAATTGGGCCACTCGAAGCTCAAAGGTGACGGGAGAGGGGGGCGTGGCCCGATTTTGGAATATCACTGACCCAATTTATATACCCTTTTCACTTGATTTTTTTTCATAATGTTGTTTATAAATAAATTTTGCACACAAAAAAAGTCAATCGTCCCAATTCAGTAACACTTTAATGTTTATGAGTAATAGTTTAACATCAACCAATCAGTGAACACTTTTAATTCCAATAAGTTGATGGTCGTAGACACGACATCACATTTGTATATGATTAAAGATTTGTGTGCACAGTATGGAAGTAGACAATGTTGAGCTCTCAATTAAATATTTAAATTTGAATGAAAGCTGATGACCAATTTATATACATATCTATGTTTTTATAACTTTAAGATACAGGTCATTTGGGCAGTGTACTTTGAGGTTTTTAAAAGGATACTACAAAGTATGCATGAAGACAGTACAGTGGAAGTATTGAATGATGTGACACAGTATACACTGGTTACTATCGTACTTCATTTTAGTGTGCAATACTGACATGATAAACTACTAGAAATGAGCTTGGGGCAGGTTTTTCCATTGCACTGCTAACATTCCCACATCACTTATCACCTAGTCCTGGTAGAACATATCCAATTATACTTCCTGTGTCCTCTCTTGATACTCAGTGTACTTTACATTAGTATGATGTTATACAATAAAAACAATAGCAACCTTAGTATTGTAGTTGTAATGTATCTGGCTATAATGTGATATCAAAAGCTGCTTGGTATGAAAGAGTACTTGATAAGTCTTAAGTGTTATGGAGTGGTGTTTCAGTGTTTGGTACAGTGTTGAGTGCTGTGGTACTTGGTAGAGTGGTTATTCTGCACTGTCTGGAGTACGAACTGTCCCAGTTGAATAGTATTAATTGGTCTCATATGTACTGCTGTGATCAATTACACTGATGTGTTACTCATGTGCACTTTTAAATATATCTCAGATAAGATGAAAAAATAAAAACAATACTACTGACATCATATTCATATTTTATTCATATCCTTTCAGCACTCTAATAATTTAAGTCTCTTGTAGTTCAAATCTTCTCAGTTAGTCCAGTACTTGACTAGTGTCAGACATCTGTAGAAAAAATTGGTTCTTGTATATCCTTGGATTTTACACATTCTAATTTTTACAGTAGTGGGTATGCAAGTTTATTGTGTTGAAAGTCAATTTGTAAACCACCCCTCAATTCTCCATAAACACCACTCAAATCTTCAAAACTTTCTAAATGGTTCATCCTTTATAGTGAACACCTTTTCTTGGATTTTGTCAAATATAGCAGTCTTAATTGCACAGATAATTATAACACATTGGAACCAGTACATTGTATACAACTATTGTAGAATACTTTCTTTTATCTGGAATAAATTTTTTCGGAAAAGACAAAACAGGGTCAATGCATATTTAGTCTGAAACAGGGTCAATGAATACGCCTCTGAAATAGGGTCAATGAATACTTACTTAATGAAAGCTTACTCTGAAATGGGGCCAATGAATACTTACTCTGAAACAGGGTCAATGAATACTTACTCTGAAACAGGGCCAATGAATACTCCTCTGAAACAGGGTCAATGAATACTCCTCTGAAACAGGGTCAATGAATACTTACTCTGAAACAGGGTCAATGAAACAGGGTCAATGAATACTTACTCTGAAACAGGGTCAATGAATACTTACTCTGAAACAGGGTCAATGAATGCTTACTCTGAAACAGGGTCAATGAATACTTACTTAATGAAAGCTTACTCTGAAATGGGGCCAATGAATACTTAATCTGAAACAGGGTCAATGAATACTTAATCTGAAATGGGGCCAATGAATACTTAATCTGAAATGGGGCCAATGAATACTTAATCTGAAATGGGGCCAATGAATACTTAATCTGAAATGGGGCCAATGAATACTTACTCTGAAACAGGGTCAATGAATACTCCTCTGAAACAGGGTCAATGAATACTCCTCTGAAACAGGGTCAATGAATACTTACTCTGAAACAGGGTCAATGAATACTTACTCTGAAACAGGGTCAATGAATACTTACTCTGAAACAGGGTCAATGAATACTTACTTAATGAAAGCTTACTCTGAAATGGGGCCAATGAATACTTAATCTGAAATGGGGCCAATGAATACTTACTCTGAAACAGGGTCAATGAATACTTAATCTGAAACAGGGTCAATAAATACTTAATCTGAAACAGGGTCAATGAATACTCATCTGAAACAGGGTCAATAAATACTTAATCTGAAACAGGGTCAATGAATACTCCTCTGAAACAGGGTCAATGAATACTTAATCTGAAACAGGGTCAATGAATACTCATCTGAAACAGGGTCAATGAATACTTACTCTGAAACAGGGTCAATGAATACTTAATCTGAAACTGGGTCAATGAAATCTTACTCTGAAACAGGGACAATGAATACTCCTCTGAAACAGGGTCAATGAATACTTACTCTTACAGTCACTTCCATTAAACAAGTAGGTTCATATTCAAACATTTTTAATTCCAGATTTTATTTATTGGAGATTCAACCAATCGTGGTATCATGTATTATTTAATGGAAGAAGTCAATGGTACATTGATGCAGTGGGATAAAACACATAACATCAAAGTTCATAATAACGTGAATGATGACAAAACCTTAGTGAGTTTTGCCTACTACCCACAGTTCTGGTTACCCTCCAATCAAAGACCTGTATTTGATAAAGCTTTGTATCAACTACTACAGAAGACACTGCCTTTGGAGAATAGTACCAACACAGTATTGGTTGTTGGTGGTGTACACTGGTTAGCAACTCACCACCTTAATGTTGTTCAGCAATCATTAGAAAGGTAAGTATTGATTGAGTTCTATTACCCTGGTTAGCCTAGGATATGGATTTATGTATTCACCTTAATATGTTGTACAGTAACTGTTAAGGAGGGTCTGACATTCATGCCCTGGTCAGATTGTTTAAAAAAATGCAAGAATCTTAACTATTATGCAATTTCAATAGTCAATCATTTTTAGCTGTGACCTGTGATGTTATTCATGTGAAAATAAGCATTAAAGACTATGTAAGTCTTCCCTGGGACTGTGGAATTATTTATACATGCTGATTAATCTTTTGTTTTACATTGTACTTTTGTTTTTCTGTGCAATCTATTAAATGAAACATACTTATATCATTGATTCTGATTAAATGAAACATACTTATATCATTGATTCTGATTAAATGAAACATACTTATATCATTGATTCTGAGATATTACTGGTATTGATAATCCTGAACACTAACTTATTATAAATTTATTTTCAATTCAGGGAAGGCTTGACTGGAATTAAGAAAATAATGAAAGGTCTAGGTTCTGGTTTTCATCAACCAATAGAAGGAGTACATTGTCTATCATTAGTAAGTGTAAATAAGTTCTATCATTCTTACCAAGCTCAGTTTTGTCAACATGCATAATTATTTTTTGTGCAGTAAAAATACAAGTCAGTTTCAGATAAATTCAGCAGTATTTGTAGAAATCTTCAAAACTATTTTACAGTGAGACCTTTTTGAGCACCAAATAGACTGCATAAATGTTTATTAAAGTGACAATAGCTATGATTTTGAACATTTTTCTGTTTAAATATATAAACACATCGAAATGACCAAATCTCACCAAAATATTGTTTTAGACATAATTGCATGGAAAAAAATGACCGCACCCAAGGGTATATCACATAAAATATGATGTCGAAAATAACGGTCAAGTAGGCGCCATCGTTAAAGTCAGTCACTTACACAATGGGAAGTGACACATAAAATCATCAGTGAGAGGGCACCCGGTAATTTGTCATCTTGTACAGTAATCCCTGAGGTTCACTTGATGAAACTGGATTTCAATAGATGGCGAACGTACATCACTGATATAGTGTATATACTATGCTTTCAATGTCCACATTTCTGTGATCACCTTTACAAATTGATACTAATGATACAGGAAATGTTTTATTAAAAATAAAAATCAGAGGAAAAGCAATTGATAGTTACAGCTATTGCCACTATACTGTTATATATTTACATACACCTGTACCCCCATACCACGTAGGCAATAACCAAGGAACTTTGCAACATTCCCAGACACTTTCCTGGGCACTTGATTAAGCTTATATTAATAATATTAGCATTGAGTGTTGCGTTCTACATTGCTTGTGTAATGGGATGTCCCATTGCCAGAAAACTTATTGCCCAGTCAATCTTTTCCTACAATCCTTACTTTTAGTTTCATCTTCATACTGTAACCATATACCAGTTTCAAATATTCTTCAGATCTGAGACGAAATTCAATAAACTCAACGATTTCTTGTGTAGACTTTAGTCGATGATGTCCGCTACTCCAGCCAAAACGTATCCTACCGATGCGACGGAAATGCCACACAATCCCTCAAACTGTTGCCCTTTCTAGTCTAAAGTGTCCGATATCAACAATGAATAAAACATTGTTTGATAAATGAAAACTTACAAGTTATAATAGTTGAACCCATCTGAAACCCTGGTTCGTTGTTTTGATTAACTGTCAGGTGAGTATATATGTAACTTTATTGCATCTACAATGGTCACTGGATTTTCTAGAAAAGTGTCTGGGGATGTTGCAAAGTCCTCAGGATTGCCTACCAGGTGCGGGAGTTTGGTGTATGTAAATATCTTGCACCCACTGACTATTTTGATTTTAATAAACAATACACAAGATTTGGAATAGACAGACTGTATTGACTATACATGTATAACTATTTAATTTTCAACTACTTGTAGTCAGTTATAACTAGCATTGGTATCATGTTTCTTGATGTAGAAAATCTCATTTGTCATCGTGTATAATTGCCTCAGTAATGGAACCATCCCATTTCACAGTTTTGATGACTATTGTTAGACATTTTGTGCAAGTATTTTCCATCACTGACTTCATTACCCTCCCCCTTGTTGTCAGCAGTTCTAGTGTTGACTCATTTTGCTGGCATGTCAATGATAAAGTGTGTCATTTTCATGACCTAGACAAATAAAAATAGTTAAATTATTTACTGGTGATGATTGACCGTTAGTAGATAGTTGTAAAATGTTAGGGCTTAGTGAATACACTACATGCTTTATTAGCCTCACTACGGTGCAATAAATGACAGCACAGACAATGTCTTTCAATATATCATAGTCAGCCTGCTTAGTGAAAACTATCTCAAGGCTACCACATAACATCTGTTTCTCTTCCCTGATGTTAGCCACTGCTACATACTGTTCTGTGTTGCTGTGAGTTTGGTCAAAGTACTGTCACATGCACTATGATATTTGCAGTGCTGATCACATGACCATGGTGAAATACAAGGTTTTAATCACACCTGTTTCATTTTGATTGAACAAACAACACGTATATGCAAGTGTTGTGTGACTGTTATTTTTGTATCCTCCAAAACAAGCAAGACATATAGCTGGCTGTGCACCTGATATAAACACCTGTTTTAATTTGAGTTGAGGAACTCGTTTTTGGGGTCACTTCACTTAAACCCAATTGTATTGTATTGGACATACTTTGATTACATGACTTGCATAATGATATGCTATGGTCACGAAATATCCTCTTATGCATGACTTGTCTGAGCTGTCAAGGCAGCAACCTTTTGTTCAAAATTAAATAAACATCAAACCCATTTACAAATTGTGTCCTTTTTAATTTCAGCAAGAACAACGTAAATTATTAATCCATAACTCAGGACTTCATGACTATGCTGTAGATCTTGGCTATGATGTGGTGGAAACATTAAATATTACAATGGCTCGTTACAAAGACTTCTTACAAGGAAAATGTGCATGCCACTTTCATAAGGTGAGATTTAGATATTCATATCCTCCATATCTTGAAATAAATTCAAAGGCGTTGTTTACACACAAAATACAACTTGATGGTATCATTGTTGCATTTCCACAGGTGAGGGAGGTCGGAGTGGATGAGCTGAAGCCAACCACCAAGACACCAGAGTTTTATGTTGCTAAGAAACCAGCTATGTATGACATAGAGGGCATAGAAGGAGAAGAAGATTATGATAGACCTGTGTATTACCACGTAGATGGGGATATCAATGCTCTTTATTCTGAAATACTCATTAATAGAATATGCGCTGCATGAGATGGTTACTATGGTAACATATTATTGTTGCTGTGCTACTAGATGAATATTTTGAATTTGTTTGATGGAAATGAAATGAAACAATGATTGTAACCACAGCAACAAATAAGATTATGAAATCAGACCCAGGTGTATAACGAGTTAATATTGTGTTATGAGAACCATATATTTGAGATTTGAGATTATTACCATGTTTTATTACGCTGGCGTAAGTTGCATCTAATAATTAAAAAGATAACGATGTGCGTTCACACCAGCATTATTTACAAGAGACATAAATATGACTCACAGATAGGTAATGTTTTGTATCACAACAAGTACTTTTGTCTTTTGTGTACTTTTTTAAACAAGTAATAATAGTAGACAATTCAAAGCATTGTAAAATGTCATAATGATATAAATATAAACTTTTTGGATTGAATTTAGCAGTATATTTGAACAATTATTTTAACAATATGGCCTGAACCTGAAAATCCAACACATATTGTGAGTACCTACTTTGGAGTAAGATAAACATAGATACATTTGACTGTGCACGCTCACATTCAGCTTAGAATACCAATGCACTTACAATACTTTTTTGACAATGATTTCCGGTGTGCCCCCATGCGAAGGGAAGCCATATTAACTCTGTCATATTTCAGCTTCTTCACATCAGCATATGTATTCACATCTCTTGTAAAGACACTCCACGCGGTAAACGAGTGAAAGGCAAAGACAAGTTTATTGAGAAAAAAAACGACTTACAGAGACAAATTACAAAACTAATAAAATTACAATTCAATAAAATACACTTCATTAAACTACAAAATTGGACACTTCTTCCCACCAAGACAGCACATGCTCCCTGAGCAATGGATTTATTTATTACCCCGGTACATAATAGTTACACTGGTGCTGTTACCCACCTTCAAGGGAGCTTAAATTCCACAATAATAAAGCCACTTTATGCTGCATAGCAGTCGTAATGTGTTCACATCTGTTTTTAGCTTGACTGTCAACTTTGTTGAGTGGAGCTAATCATATTACTGATTGTCCGGTGAAAAGTACAATTCTTATTGCTTTTATACTTGGTATATGGTATATTGGATGGATTTCTCTTTGATTTGTTCATTTCATGATGATATCTTTAATTCTCTAATTTTGATAAATATTCTTGTCATTTTTGGTAAAATGTAATATTTTCGACTTTAAAACAGTTCATCCAATTGCTTTATTTGTACACGTATGTACTTCGTGTGGACTTGTCTAAGATTTATTCAGATTGCTTGTGAAATGTGCATTGCTAACAGCGTATCTCAGCAGAAATGCTGCTTGTTTCTTATGTCACTGCAAGTTACACTGGTACAAGGAGAAATAAAAAACAGATGTGAACAAGATATATATCACTGCCAATTTATTATCACACTATTTAGATAAAAAGTTCAAAACTTTCTATAAATAGAAATTAATTGAATTCAATGCTTTTGCTTTAAAGAAAAAAAAGTTGTTGAGTTGGTATATGATAGAGCACTGAAATGCGCTTCCTTAAATGCTATTTCATCATAAATCAATTTTGTGTCCTGGAACATTATGCGCAAAGAAACACATTTACCGTATATTGTTTATTTAAAAACAGCTAATATAAACACAAATAACAAAAGTTATGGCAGAAATTGTTTAAAGCAGATTGAAAAAGGAAAAAAAGTCACGATAAGAGATTGCATCTAGTAATTATGAGACAAGTCAGCAAAAATGGCGCTAATAAAAAACTGCCTTATAACAATTTGTCTTTTTTTTTTATTTACTTCCAAACATTTTCCTCTATACTATTATTTTTCTGTGACTTTTTTTATCATGCACCACAGAATTAGCTGTACTTTAATCATTGAAGGTTATTGAGCAATAACTGATTAATAATGTCAATAAACTACTAACTCAATTAACTTGATAGATCCTGTTATTTACACTGAATACATATGGTGTGACTTTGAGACCCAAAACCAATATAGTCTCAGTGAATGAATTAATACATCACAATTGGCAGTTTATAGTGAAGTAAAATTTAAACAGCATGAGCAACTGATATGAAATAAGGTGGCTATGCAATTTAGTAGTAGTGTTATTTATATTATTTTTGCCAACAAGGTCATTAGACAGAAGTAACCAGAATCTCTTGACTCTTGTTTTTAAGTCGTATTAACACATGGTGCTTTATCACAGAACAGGAAACTGTGTACTTGCCTGTAGCATTAAATGTCTCTATACAATTACTGTACACAATAAACTGAAATTACCACTGACATGTTTTCTTTACTGCGATATCAACATTCTGGAATAGTTGAATGTCTGAAATAAGGTGGTTACTATGTGAATTAATCAGGTGTTGATCGCTGAAATTTCTAAGAATTTATTAAATTTTATTGTAATTATTGACTTATTAAGATATATATATGTATTACTGTTACACCTTGGTTTTTTGTCAACTACAAGAAAAGAAAGCAGTTATAAGTGATCGTAACAATCGTATTCATAAATAATTCATTTAGCGTTGCTTATATTATTCTAGTCTATCATGTGAAGTTTTCACTAACATGTTCAAATTGAACTAACTACTATCTGCTCTTTTAGAAACACATCTCCATAATAGAGGTCAACTCACACTGAACCATTATGTCAGTGTACACCAAATTATCATGATATTAAAGTAAAAGTAGGCACCTAAATATTGACTCTAGAATAATTGTGTATTTAATACTGTACAGCTTCTTATCTTGAGGCATATGAAATATTGGAAATAGTTTATTTTTTAAGAGTATATAGGAATTATTGTTTTGTATATTTAGCAGTAATTTGGTGAAGAGCTTTACATTTTAATATGTCATCATATATAGTTATGTGGAATGGATATGAGATTTAATATATATATATTATAGTTATTTGTTATTATTAAAATTCAGTATTGATTGAGGTATTGTTCTTTGTAACGTGTAATTACATCTACTAAACGTTTGACGAAAAGTTTTAAAAGAAGGTGATATTGTGCTTTTCTGATTATACATCACAACAAGTTGCCATAGTAATACATACTTCCATTAACGTCACAATCTTCATTGAAATTTGGTTCATAGATGCTAAAGGGTAATCTACAGACATAATAATATGTTTAATAATGAAAAACATGCCTATTGATTTATCTAATTATTAGCCAATTTCTGGTATCCCAAAAAATCAGATTTAAATTGAGCCTGGTAGAAGTGCTCTGAAATAAATTAGACTTAAAACCACAGATGTATTTTCTGTAAGTATTATAAACTGTGGATCACATTGTACATCTCAAATAGCAGACAAATATTAGTTGTCAAGCTTCTTGTTCAGAAGGCTAATCAATTTGTAATTTTCAATAATCTAATGTTTCCTGAGCTTTCTATAAATTGTTTTGCAATCACTTCATTAAAACAGCTTACTTTGTATGGATATTGAATCAAGCTTGGTTAGTATAAGCTTTGGAGTAGGAAGATCTAGGAATGTAAATGACTGCCTGTATTCCCCTGCATAGCAGCTTTAAAAGTGCAGCATTCTTGTTTTGTTAAC